CGAAGGTGGGGTGGTGGGGGGTGGGGGGTGGGGGCGGCGTGGGCGGGCCGTTCGGAGGCGTGAACGTGTTGTTCCGCGGGGGTACTTATCCGCGGGATCCGCCGTCGGGAACGGCAATCAGCGCGCTGCCCGCGTCGCATCTGGAAAACGCGCGGAAGTGCGCGCCAGGTGCCGCGGAGCATCGCGGGCGGCGTGCTTTAAGGGAGTTGGGGGCGAAGGGGCAGCGCGGGGAATCGCGAATTTGACTGAGTGCAAGTGCGTGGAGGGCCAGGACGACAGGTTCCGTGGGGTGCAAGACGAGTTTCGCCGAGGAGCGCTGGTTGAACTTGGGCGCAAATCCTTGCGCGGCAGGCCGATGGGCGCGCTGGAGTCACGGGCGAACGGCGCGCCGATGTGCGGGCGCGCGCGTTGTCGAGGGGACGCAGGGGCAGTTGCCGAGAATGCCGGGCTTGAATGCGAGGCGCGCGAAGCTGAGCGAGAGAAGGAGATCGCGTGAAAGTGGCGTTCCCGCCTTGACGCGGCGCGCATGAGTCGCCCGCCAGCTTTGGTGGCCCTCGCCACAGGGCGTCTTGTTGCTTTCGCCAGAAATCCGTGTGAATTTGGTTCGGAAGTGGCGTTCCAGCGCGGGCTCGGCGCGCGGCTCGTTCGCCGAATCGCGCGCGAGCGACAGCGGCAGCGGGGCGGCGCGAGAGCGGGTGAAACGCCGACCTCGCTCAAGCGCCGCGCTGTTTGTGAGTGAAAGAGGTAATGCTGTGTTAGCGCGGCGCATGTTTTTTTTTCGCCGCGCCCATCATTTGTTTTGCCGCTCCCTCCCCTGCGCGGCCCGCGCATTTGCCTCTTCGCCAAGTCGTCGGAAACGGGGCCGCGCGCGAGCACCAGCCGTTTGCGAGATGGGGGCGCGTTCCAATCGCAATATCAAGTGGTGCCACATCTGATTCTTATGTTATGGGAGGGGGGGTCGGCGTGGATGGGGTCCTCAGATTCCCTCGACTCAGCAAACATGAATATTGGCCGTATTCCTATTCGTATATACCGCCGCTCTGCCACCTAGCCGGCCACTGGCCGCCCAATACGGGTGGCTTTATCGTGCCTGTAGAAGAAAGCAGAGTTTACGATTTTCGTCTCCACAGCATACTGTTGCTGTCCATGTCGCAAAATGCGCTGCAGGAATGGGGCGGGCGCACATCCTGCGCGAATGGCCGAAATGTCGCGCTTGTCTCGTCGCCGTGCCCGTTTTTCGGGCGCGGCGCGCGTTTTCCGCGCGCATTGTTGTCAACGCGCGAGCGGGCGACAATGTCGTCCTCGCCCCAGCGCCACGCAGATTTGGCTTGAAAGTGGCGTTCCCGCTTCGACGCGGCGCATATTTATCACTCGCCAATTTTTCGGTGCCCGTGCGACTGGGCGACGTGTTGCCCTCGCCCAAGTCCCGTGCGTATCACGGTCAGGACTGGCGTTGCAGCGCGGGCGCGGCGCATGATTCGATCGCCGAAGTGAGTGGCAGCGAGGCCGCGCGAGAACGGGCGAATTGCACACTCGGCGCCCAAACGCCGCGCACCCTGCGAGTGAAACGTGCAATTCTGTTTCAGCGCAGCGCATGTTTCGTCTTCGCCGCGCCCATCGGACGTTTTGCCGCTCCCACCCGTGCGCGGCTTGTGTAGCGTTCTCTTCGCCAAGTGGTCGGGAGCGGGGCCGCGCGCGAACGCTTACCGTTTGCGGAGTGGGAGCGGCTTCCGATCCGAATCTCAAGTTGGGCCACGCGTGATTCTTTGTTGTGGGAGGGAGGGTGGGATTAGGCGATTCCTTCTGATTCGCTTGACCTGGCGGACTCCTGCTCCTACTCCCACTCCCAGTCCGATTCTTTCGGCCAATTCCTACTCATACCTCTACGAGTAGTCTTTTCCATATACCTCTCTTTATCTCGTTATTACATTATTCATATCCGACTCGTGCTTTGCTCTACGGTGCTCTACCGTATTCTACCCTACTCTGGTGTCCTCGTCGCCCATTCTAAACACGTGTAGTTTGCTCCACCTTACCCTACCATGAAGCCAATTCTATTCCATTATGCCCAATTCTTCCCTACCGTATACCACCCGGGCCTCTTTTCATATACCTTTCCTGCTCTGCTCCTGTTCGTCTCAACTCTATTCCCGTCTTCTCTACTATAGGATTTGCCTCTTTCCACTCCTATTTACTCTACTCTACTCTGTTCTTCTCGTCGCTACTTTCATGTCACCTTATTATGCACTACTCACTACTCTATTCGATGCTATTCTTTTCGACGCAAATACTATTTCCACTTTCCCTACTCTGTTCCAGTTTATTCTAATGCACTTATGAGCTTGTCGGTTGTTGGATGAGTGTTGGGACGCCCGTGTAATAGCTACTGCAAGTCTTAGCCATGGGAAGCCATGGCAGTAGCACAGGAAGCACTTGCAAGAACAAAGGAAGCGATGGCGATAGTTTGGGGCAACACCGGAGGGGGGCGGGGTAGCAGTGGAGCAGTTATCCATGGTTGGAGCTAGGATTCCTACAGGCAAGCCTGCTTGGACAACAACAAGAGGATGAGGAGGAGGAAAAGGAACTAGATGAGGATAGTGAGGAGGAATATGAGGAGGAGGATGAGGTGGAGAGGATTAGGATGATGATGATGCTGATGATGGTGATGATTATGGTGATGATGATGATGACGATGATGACGATGACGATGACGATGATGATGGTGATACCAATGATGTAGATGTTGATGTTGATGATGATGCTGCTGATGATGATGCTGCTGCTGCTGAGGATGCTGATCATGTTTAGGCGGAGATGAGGACTCTTTGAACTCTTTGATTACTGACGCTGTCCTGGGAACGAATTCTAATCCCTGGTGCTATCCCCAGCCCCCGTCGGGCTAGGGCTTCTGGCCCTGGCCTGGCCAGGTGGGAGCCGCGGGGCGAACCCCGCTGCCTCCTGAGGCTCCCGAGGCTCAGCAGCCTGGCCAGGAGGGCCCGATCCTGGGTTTTCCTGAGGCGGCCGATTGAGGTCCGCCCTCGCCACACACACACACACACTGCCAAATCTCGGGCCCTGGTGGCCTCACGAATTGCCCTCGGGGGACCCTCCCCGTGCAGGAACAAGCCTTGGGGTCCCCCCATCACACATAGCTACTAACTTACGGGGGTCGACTGTCACGTACAGGCCACACTCGGTGCACACAAACGTCAACGATTTTTCAACGTATTGGATTTTGTGAGAGTGGTGAATCCTCGCGCGCATGCCCTGATCTCTAATGGCAGGCGCGATTCTCTCACCTGGCGCGGCCTGGGACCCGACCCCGACTTTGGCGGGTGCCCTGAACATTTCGTGGCCGCGAACTCCCGAGCTTTGTATCAGGGGATAACTCTCTCACAAACCGTGCACCACCAAAAACGTCTGCATGGCCCGCATGGCTCGAGCAGATGATCGGAGGCCGCCGCCGCGGCCTACAGTCGGGACGGCCGAGCCTCCCTCTTGAAGGGTGCTCGCTCCGCCCTGACATTCTCTTCTGCCTCCGCTGCACAGGCTAGGGCTCTTCGGGCCCGTCTTCTGATCAGTGCAGCAGTCGTGTCTACTTGATCCGTGTCAGGAACCCTTCCCACGACCCTCGACCACGCCAACTCCGCCGCCCCCCCCGCCCACGAATCAGCACAGGCGTTGCCAGCGGCGAAAAAGAGCTTCGCCCCTGGAGGGCCTTACGGTCCCTCGTTCAAAAGATCTTCGTTGACCCCCACGGGGTTAGGCCTGCAAACACGGGCCCTCGTTTTGTGACCAGTCACACGCGTGAAGCCGACTTCTGACGGAACCGTCTCGAGCGCCAGGCAAGAGGCAAGATCTCGGCTCGCGGGGACCGTTTGTATATCACCGGAGAGCGGGACCCTGGGAGCCTCCCCCAAGGTCCACCCCCCTCCCACGTCAGAGCGAAGACCCACAGTCGCTGCTCCACAGCGGCGCCGTCTTGGGTCATCAGAGTATCTGCCCCCCCCCCGCGCCGCCTCCGAAAATGTGACACCTGCTTGCCTCGGTGTATTCAGCGAAGCCGTGATTATGATACTGCACTTGCATCTCGGCGATCCTGGCCTCATCGAACTCTGGCACTGTTTGACTCATTGCAGTGAGCCCTCTCAACCAGAAAGTGGGCATCGCCTCGTGCTGCGCGGCCGCCTGAGGGATCAGCATGTCCGTCTTGTCGAAGATTCCCTATCCTTTGGTACAACGTTTCTTCTCTGTGCTGACACCTTGGGCAACTGTTGTCTGTGATGATGTACACTTCTTTTTGCTTTCGCACTCTCGTCCACTGCCCTGCAGTCGTAGCTATCAAGTTGAGTGCCGCCAGATCAGGAGCTCCTTGATCATGATACCTACGCTGCTCTCGTCGAATACGCCATACGCCGCCACCAGGGAGAAGGTCTTGCCCATCTTTATGTTTAGCCGCCTGCTGCCAATAGAGCCTTCTCATGTCGCTGACCAACTCTCCCAGGATGGCGAGCCGCTCCCAGTCCTCGGTGTAGTTCTCGTCGGAGCCTCTCGGGATGAGCCACGCCTGAAGCTGACCATCTGGAAGAGGACACTCCCACTCAGTAGCCGATATAGGGTTCCATCCAGCATCCATGAGCGTGGCCTGCACCGTGGCGGTGGGCCTTCCGACATGGGCCCGCGGCGCCGTCCTGCAACCAGTAATCTCTGCCTGATCTTGATCCAGGCCAGCTTGACACGAGCATGGACTTGGGGTTGGTGTTGCCACAGCGCTAGCCACTCCATCACGACTCGCTTCCTCAACTCCAGGAGGAGGACGACGACGCGGAGTTGGAGGAGGAGGAGGAGGAAGAGAAGGATCAGAAGGAGGAGGAGGAGGAGGAGGAGGAGGAGGAGGAACAGCAAGTCATGGCGTAGCTTGCGAAGCGACCTCGTGATCTGTCTGATGGAATCAAGGGCCCTGGCGAAGTCATGGCAAGCAGACTTCCTCTGCCCCGGAGGCCCCCCGCAGTCGCCAGAGGCGTCCACTCCCCTGGTCGACCAGAGCATTACCGAGGAGGATCGAAGAAGACAAATCGGCATGAGCATCAACTGTCGGAGGCCGCGCTGATTTTTAGGATCGACGCTGGAGTCCTTTGGCGCGCTTTGCGCGCCAGGGAGGGGTGGGTCCAGCGCCCATCCCAGAAATCCGCGCGGGTCTCTGGAAGTTTACGCTTGTGCGCTTTGCTCTTCCTCCAGAGGAGGCGTGAGCGTGAGGCATGTTCGGTTCCAGGAGCGAGAGGTTCTTGGACGTTTCGCCTCGCCCTCTCCGTCCTCGGCGGCGCGCCCAGGGGAGAAGGCAGAGGGGATCAGCCTCCTCGGAAGGCGGCGGGGCTTCTCGGAAGCCTTCCCGCCTGGCGTGAAGCCCAGCCGAGAAGGCTTCTTGGACGGCGGGAAGGCTTCCGAGAAGCCCCGCCGCCTTCGGAGGAGGCCGCCCCCCTCTGCCTTCCTCCTCGGGGCGCGTCGCCGACCTCCGCGGGATGGAGGGCCTGCGCCGGGCTTGCTGGCGCCATCTTCGCCCAGCCCCCAGTACGCATGAGCGGCGCGGCTTCCTCCCCGTGTGGCGCCTGTGGCTCTGCTGGCCCTCATGCGGTTGCGATCTCTTCACCCCCGCCCTCTCCCTGACCCTTCACGTCGAGTTCCTGCCTCGTCCCGCGCAGGTCTCCTCCTGCTCCTCTTCTTCTTCCTCGTCTCGGGTCGGACGAGAAAGGCGGGAATAGGGAAAGGGGGGCTATGGAATCTGCCGCATGCGGCTGGGAATCGGCCCTGCCGCCAGGCGCCTTCCCTTGATACATCGGCGCCTCACGGCGCTGGGAAGCGCTTGGAAAATCACTACGTGAGCTGATTCGCTGATTCCTGACATCCGACGTTGCGAAGAGCTGCCACGTCGCAGAAACCACGACCGCAGCCCCAGACCTTATCTTTCTGCGGCATCTTTCGAGCCGGGTCGCTGTGTGATGGCCCTGGCGCCCGAAACCGGGCGAACAGGCCCGGTGTGACAAATTTGCAACACGCGGGTCTAGGGGATCCCGCCTTTACTACCTTCCTTGGTCGTCCGACCTGCTAGTGTCGATGTCTGTTCATGGGAGCTTTAGGCGGCGACGTCGAAACTAGTTTTTTTTGCATTGGCCCTTCCTCCTACTCTTCCTCGCTCTTCCTATTCCTGCTGTCTCTCCTTGTTCTTCTCGTCTCTCTTGTGAATGGGGTGAATCCAATGCAACTCCTGCCCCAAATGTGTTCCAGAGCTGGTCCAAATCTGTCCAACATCTGACAGCGCCGGAGGCTCCCATGGAACAGGACACCAAGTGTAGTTCTCCTCTTCGATGTGCTTGAATTGCCGTCCTGATGCTAGGGGGGCGTCCCTCCCCTGCACGCTTGTTGCAAGCGCCTGCAGCGGGGCCTCGCCGTCCGGCGGGAGAGTTCCGATGTGGTTGCTCGCGCGAGGTCGCCTGACGTGGAGGTCGCGTAGGGAGGAGGGTGAGGATGAGGAGGAGGAGGAGGACCAGTTTAAACCCAAGGAGCACGAACGATGGTTCAGTCAACCCTACCTCCAAGTCCCCTCTCCATAGGTCCCGACCAGATTTTCCCAAGCGTCCTGTGGTGTTGGGCCCTCGTTTTGAAAGACAGCGCCCCTGTGTTCCTCCTCCTGCTCCTTCTCCTCCTCCTCGTCTTTCTTCCCCATCCTCCCATCCCTGCCTCTTCCCTCCGCACCCAGAGTACAGCGCTTCGTGGCCCCATAGGGAGCTCCACCGAAGGCTCCAGGGGCTGTGACTACATGCGTCCCGCGCCACCCAGTACGGCGCTTTGTGGCCCCATAGGCCATGAGGAGCTCCACGGGAGGCCCCAGTGGCCGTGACAACGTTTCGCGCCACCCATTACGGCGCTTCATGGCTTCATAGGGACGGCCACAAGAGGCCCCAGTGGCTGTGACCTTATGCGTCTCGCGCCACCAAGTACGGCGCTTCGTGGTACCATAGGGAGTTCCACCGAAGGCCCCAGTGGTTGCGACCACGTCTGGCGCCACCGAGTAGCCGAATACGGCGTTTCGTGTTCCCATAGGGTAGCCTTGACCACATGCGTCCCGCGCCACCCAGTACGGCGCTTCGTGGCTGTGACCACATGCGTCCCCGCGCCATCCAGTATGGCGCTTCGTGGCCCCATAGGGAGCTCCACCGAAGGCTCCAGGCTGTGACCACATGCGTCCCGCGCCATCCAGTACGGCGTTTCGTGGCCCCGTAGGGAGTTCCACCGAAGGCTCCAGGGGCTGTGATCACATGCGTCCCGCGCCATCCAGTACGGCGTTTCGTGGCCCCATAGGGAGCTCTACCGACGGCCCCAGTTGTTGTGACCGCGTGCGTCCTTCGCCGCCCAGCACGGCGCTTGCCACATGAGGAGCTCCACCGAAGACCCCAGTGGCTGTGACCACGTCCCGCGCCACCCAGTGCGGCGTTTAAGTCTGGGGGGTCGGGAGGAGAGGCAGATTCTTGCTTAGTTTGAAGTTGTCAAATCCACTGCTCGCGTAGTCATCTCACCCGTCCACCCGCAAGTTGGTTCGCAAAACCCATGCGGCGGCGATTGTGATGACTGCTTGGCGCTGGCTGGCGCATCGCCGCGGCCGCGCTAGCAGCTAGTTTGGCGCGACCGACGCGGCCGCGGTGGTGCTGACCGTGGGGGGCTTCCCTGCGCGTCTAGCAGGCCGCGCTGACGCGCAGGCACATCAGCGCGAGTCGGTAACTCGAGCGGGCGCGGTATCATGGTGACGTCGTCGACCGCAGCAGACGCGATGGAGATTGCAGAGGCCGGCGCGGCCGCGGTGGTGCTGACCGCTGGGCACTACCCAGCGGGAACTTCCGTGCGAGTCGGCGACTTGGGCGGGCTCGGTATCATGGCAAAGTCGACAACGGCAGATGCGATGATGCTGAGAATGATGGCGATGATGATGGCGATGATGATGGTGATGATGATGATAGTAGCGATGCTGGCGACGATGCCGACGACGACGGCGCCGCCAGTGACGGCGCCGATGCTGATCACGCCGACGACGATGACGGCGCCCTCGCGTCGGTGATGAACGTTTTGGAGGGAGTTCGACACGCGCGCGGCCGACGCGCGGGGGGGGGGTAGAGGGGGTGGTTGGAAGGGCCGGTTGGGAGGGGTAAGGTGGATTTCGACACGCGCGCGGCCGCCGCGCGGGGGGGGGGCAGCCCGCGTGGTCTTCTTTGACGCGGATCGCGCCCCGCCCCCCCCCCCAGCGCGCGCGCAAGGTCGTTCGAAGATGTTCGACATGCGGCGCGAGAGGCCCGTTGAGCATAATTGAATGAACATGTCGAACAAACAAGCTTATGGCCTTCTTAAAATGAACGCGAAAGCAGGCTTCTCTTTTACTTTGAAAACTTGTGTTTTTTATTCTTCATATGTTTCTGGAGCGCTCGATTTTGGCGTTGTGACGAAACCTTCGGTGTTTGAAGGATTTCGGCGCGCGCGCCCGGCGACGTGCGCGCGTGCTCTTCGTCCATTTTCTTGCCGGGGGATTCTTGCGACCGCGCGCGCATGGGCGTTCTTGCGATTCCGACGTGGGCGCGCGAGAGGCCCGCTTGGCAGCGCGTCGCGAACGCGTGGAAGAAACTTCCGGGTTTCCTGAAAGATGCGCAAGGGCCTGGGCGCAATTGGTCTCTTGTTTCTCAGGACCCCCGCTCGGAAAGCAGATGTTTCTATGTGATTTCGGGGCGCTCGGCTCTGACGTCCGCGCGAAACTTTTCTGCTGGTGCCAAGATTTCGGCGTTCGCGCGACGACGCGCGCGTGCTTTTCGCCCCATCTCTGCAATTGATGTTTGAAAAGTGGTGATTGTTGCAAACGAGCGCGCGCGCCAACAATTTGCGACAAAGCAGAGGGGGGGGCATGGGCCTCTCCGGCGCGGCGTGCGTTCATATTCAGGGCGGGCGATGGGGCAGAGCCGCGCGCAACATGCCGCGCGCGAAGGGGGGGTCATGTCTTTTTGAAGAGGGGGGGTGGGGGGGCATCAAATACTTGTTGGGCAAGCTATGTGGTGCAACCTGCGCGGTGCACTTGACTACCTCTTGCCGCGCTCGACCGCCTCCCATGCCCCTGCGATCGCCCCGCCCGCCCGCCCGCAATTTGGTTTCAAATGTCCATGTGGCGGCCATTGCGATGGGCGCATGGCGTTGGCAGGTGCATCTCTGCGGCCGCGCTTGCCGGCGCGTGCTCGCGCGCGCAGCGGCCAGCTTGTTTGGCGCGACCGACGCCGCCGCGGTGGCGCTGAGCTCCAGGCATGTCCCAGCGGGCGTTTCTGTGCGAGTCGGCGACTTGGGCGGGCGCGGCGCCATGGCGACGCCGACGACGGTAGACGCGATGACGATTGCAGCGGTGGTGGCGAATGTGGCGAGGACGACGGCGAGGCCAATGGTGGCGCCGATGTTGATCACGCCCGCCGATCACGACGACAATGTCCTCGCGTCGGCGATGGAGGTTTTCGGGGGAGTTCGACGCGCGCGCGCGGCCGACGCGCGAGAGTGGATCGTGTGGTGTTATTCGATGCGGATCGTGCTCTCCCCGCCAGCACGCGCGCAAGTTCGTTCGACTGAGATCGGCATGCGGCGCGAGAGGCCCTATTGCCATATTTTGAACCCGCATGGGCGCGATCGCAGGCTATCTGGGCAACTGATGTTGCAAAGCCGTGTGTTCCATATGTTTTCGGGGCGCTCGGTTTTGGCACCCTTGCGACACTGCGTGTTTTTGCGCGGATTGCAGCATTCGCGCGCGGCGGCGCGCGCGCTTGCACTTCGTTAGATTTCAGTATGGGGCTCTCGCGACAGCGCGTGCGCAGGGGCGTTTGAGCGTTTTCGACGCGCGCGCGAGATGCCGATTTGGTTTTATCTTACGACAATGTTGAAAACTTATGGCTTTGTGTCAGGAGTTTGCATGGGCGTTTATTTCGTAGTATTAGCAGAACAGAGTTTGTTTTATATTTTCGTGACGTTCGATTATGTGACCCTTGCGAAACCCATGTTTTTTTTTCTCTACAAGGATTCGGGCATGCGCGCGCGACGACGCGCGCGCGTGCGCTTCGTTGTACTTTTTGCAAGGATTCTTGGAACCTGATGATTTTTTATTAGCAAGAGCTTTTGCAGAGGATGGTGGTGGGGGGGGGGGGGGGTCGATGCCGACCCTCCTGGGAGGGTGCGAATTCATATTTAGATTCGACGATGGGACATAATCGACTCCTGTTCGCAGTTAGTTGCCGACTCCTGCTCGCGCAACCATCCCGCCCGCCCGCCCGCGCCTTGGTCGGCAAAGCCCATGCGGCGGCGATTGCGATGAGTGCTTGGCGTTGGCTGGTGCATCTCTGCTGCCGCGCTTGCCCGCGCGTGCTCGCGCGCGCAGCGGCCAGCTAGTTTGGCGCGACCGACGCCGCCGCGGCGGCGCTGGTCGCCGAGCATTCATGCGACTAAAATATTTCGGGGGCGCTCGTTTTCTGACGTCCGTGCGATGCGTCCGGTTCTGTGACATGTCGGCGCGCGTTGCAAGGGGTCGTTGGAAACAAATAGTTTTTGATGAATGAGCGCGCGCGCATCGCGCGCTGCGTTGAAGATGGGGGGGGGGGGGGGCGGCGCCGGCCTGCCTGAGGTGGTGTGACTTCATAGATTGAATGGGCGACGGGGCGCAATCATTTGCAAGTTGCAACGCGAAAAGAACGGGTAATTCTGCGTGCGTGCGGGGAGGGGGTGGTGATCCTATAATTCTGTTAGAGCGGAAAATCAAGTCATTCTCGCGCGTGAGTTGTAGACTCCTTCGTTCGCGCAATCATGTCGCGCGCCCGCCCGCAAGTTTTTTTGCAGAGCCCGTGCGGCGGCGATTGCGACGACTGCTTGGCGCTCGCTGGCGCATCGCTGCGGCCGCGCTGGCGCGCGCGGGCTCGGGCGCAGAGCGGCCGGCTAGTCTGTCGCGACCGCCGCGGCCGCGTTGGCGCTGGCCGCTGGGGACTCCGCAGCGCGTCTCGCAGGCCGCGCTGACGCGTGGAGATTTCAGCGCGAGTCGGTGACTCGTGCGGGCGCGGTATCGCGGTGACGTCGCGCGCGGCAGGCGCGATGATGATTGCAGCAGTGCTGGTGACAATGATGACAATAACGACTGCAGGGTTGATGGCGACTACGATGTTGATCGCACCGATTGACGATGGTGGTGTCCACGCGTCGATGGCTGAGGTCGTGGATGGATTTCGACGTGCGCGCGCGGCCGGTGGTGCGCGCGGGCGGCCTGCGTGGTGTCATTCGACAGGGGCCGCGTTTCCCCTGCAAGCGCGCAAAGGCGTTCGACTGATGCCGACA